TCAGTTTAGTGATTTAAGTGGAATAATTATCGCTGAAAATAAGATCTCCTGCCTCTGGAGATGAGGCTTTCCGGGTGCTCTGATAGTCTCTGCGTTACTTAATTAGTTCAACCCTTACTGAGTAGCGGCTTCTGCTGCCCTGGCATTCCTAGAGGTGGCTTTAACTCACAGTAGGAACTTGCAGCACTGTTTTTTTTACCACTTAAAATTGCACAGAGAACTGCGCAGCAATGTGTGCATATGGAGGCAGCTGCCCATAGCTGTTGGCTCAGTCACAGATAAAAGAACTGGGTACCAAGGGCACTAATTATGAGCTGAAGGGTGAGCGAAAATCCCTCCTTGCTTTTCTCCCATTTCTGTTTGCAGAGAAAAGCTTCATTTAGGGCAAACTGAACGTGTTTGGAAAACAACAGCTGGGAAGCAAAGGTCAGAAGCACGGAGTACCTGTGGCGGCTGGTCGTGGTTGCAGTTGTTAAATCCTGCACTATATTAAATATTAAGTAGCTATTATTGTAAGAACGCCAGTGGCAGAAATAGATATTTTAGCACCAAATGGGATGCACTGATGTTTATGCAGCGGACTTACACGGGCTATTGCAGAATTTCATCAGCCTTCACCCATTCCTAGCAGCCTGGCTGTTCTGCTTGCATGCCATCACCAGGATGGCCTAGGGGAGGTCTGTGTTCTCTCTGACTGACAGCTTTTCCCCTAAAATGAAACAAAACAGAAGTCATTATTTTGTTGCAGTTGGGCTGCATGCTGACACGGTTCCTGAGTGCTGTTCGGTTTGGAATTAGTGTGAGTTGTGCTACGTACTGCAATGTAGATGGAGAAAGTTTTGTCCTGCTTTAGACCCCTCGTGTCTCCCAAGGCCAGACATTCTGCTTCCATGTCTTTTCCACACGAGGGCTGAACGTGTTGCTCTGCCCTACGTTCACTGTTACCAACCGTCTACCTGAAGGGCCAGGCCTGGCAGAACAGCACATGCTGCCACATCCACTTTAGCCTCAATGTGCTTGGCTATGTGGCTGTAGCTGCAGTCAGGCTTGTAGGTACAACACAGCTTTTGTTGCTACAACACAACTGCTAAGCCTACATGTACACAGCTGACCCAAAGCCACGATTTTAGTGTTGGAAGCACTTTGGTGGTTCTCTAAACACGAGAGATTTACCTCTGATAAAAGGAGGGTAGGAGTCAGCTGTCTCAGAACTGCAGGCCCCAGGAGAGCTGCTGTCACATCTCACTGTGGGTGCAGCTCTGGACTGGGGAGATAAAACTCACGTCGTTATCGAACACCAATCAGTGAAGTTGAAAGGTCCCCTCTGCCGGCTCCTTTGCCCCCGGAATGCTGGAAGCTTTGCTCCAGGTTCCACCACCGCTGCTCCTGCACCGTGCACAAGGCCGTCAGTAACATTTCAAAGCTCTACGAATGGTGACAAACAATCCTAGATGAAAAACGGAGGATTTTATTTAAAATCCAACCAGGACGGGGCAAAATTCCTCCTCACATCGCCTCATTGCTCTGAGCTGCCCGGCTCACACAGCGCCACGAGGGGAGAGTTAAAGGCCACGTCCACATGTAGAGCAGTTCAGAATCAAACAGCACGTTTTGGTCTTTATTCTATCAAATGATACAACAAAAAAGTACTATTAGTGAAGGGAAGTTAAAAACATGGACCGGACGGCTAGTAAAAAGCAAAAACGTGACATTGGTTCCATGGTAATTACAAATTGTAAGGAAAATAAATGTGAAACTGCAGCATTACAGGAAATTTGTTAATACAGATTAAATAACGCAGTTATCCTGGCGTGAATTACAAACCAAAGAACAAACACGTGTAAAAAGATGGACGGTTGCTTTGAATATCAACCACGTGGGTTTCCAGCACAAATACGTCCAGAGGGTTCTGTAACAAATCATTTCAATACATAAACCAAGAACCGCAGCGAAGTGAGTGCAGAGATTGGAACAGCAGCTCCTCTGAAGGAAAAAGAAAACGCCACATTCCCTTTGCCACAAAGTAAAGCAGTGTTTTGGAAGACCAGCGGAACGGTTTGGTTAAGAAACAACCCCCTAGAATTCGTCTGCCACGATTTCTTGTTTCAGTTTACCAAAATCAGTGGCCGCCTTTGAAGATTACCATAAAAACATCTCACAGCCATCGTAAAAAAGAAGCGCTGAGATCAGAGAGGAGCACGGCGAGGTGGAGCCCACAGCAGGGCTGCAGAGCCTTCCCCCCTGCCCAGCACTCGGCGGCACGCTGCTCAGCGCCGTGCTCTGCTGAGGACCTGGGTGCAGCACAGTGCTGGGCTGCGTGCTGTGAGACCACCATGATATGCATTCATTCTAAAGGGGACCACAGCTTCCTTAATGCCCAACTGGGCCTTAAAGTGGAGGGAAACAAATGAAGCTCTGCTGGATCAATCCTGCTACAAAAGGTAATTTTCCAGAATTCCAAACAGGAGATCACAAGCAGGGCACCACTGCCCACAGCACAGCTGCAGGCTCTGTGCAGACCACAACTGTTTCACCCCCAGCAGCGCTGGCCCAGCGGAGCAGAGCTCTGCAATGCCACTCACTGCAATGCCACTCACTGCAATGCCACTCACTGCAATGCCACTCACTGCGTCAGCGCCAGAGGCCTCCCGAGCGAAACACCGATTAGGTCAAACGTTGCAATGAGTGCGGGTGCAGCCCCTGCTGGCGAAGTGCCCCAGCACCGCCGCACCCACAGCACGGGGCTGTGCCTCACTGCTGGGATGGAGCAGCGCTCATAAAGCTCACTGCGCCCTGCCACTCATGGCCAGGAATGTCTTGGATAGAAAATACATCACTAAGTGCTGGGAGGAAACGCACCGAGAAACAGTTCAGCAGTTCTTACTTAACGAGGATGACACAGGAATCTAAGGGCAGTCACTGAGGTGGAGAAGAGAAGCGGATGGAGTCAGCTCCCTCAGCTTCAGGCTAAGAAAAGCAGCCAGGTGCATTCACTGCAGTGACACACAGGGACTTCCCTCAACAAAATCTGTGTCCAACCCACATCGGGGCAAACCCTAACACAGCCACCACTACAAACAGCTTCAGAGAACCTCAAGATACTGTATCATCACAAAGGCTAGGAAACCAGAGCTAGCAGATCTGCAGCCAGAGCTCAGGAAAGCACTGACGCTGCCCAAACCTCACCACCATGAGCAGTCAGCACTGCCTCTTCTATGCACAGGGATGCCCAGGACCTGCCTTCCCACACAAGGCTACTCTGAAAGTATTTGTTTTTGTTCACATCTTGAATCCGCTGCTGCTGCAGCTGCTGTATCTCCTCAAACACCCAACCCTGGTTCTGTGGGCCCCTTCCTGTGCCAGCAAGCTCTGCACTATTCTGGAATATCTGGGGACACAAACAACACAGAACACACAGTTCTTGCCCTGTGATACTGCAGAGAAAAAAAAAAAAAGATTCTGACATTCACTTTTTATGCAGTAACATTTTTCTGCATCTGCTGAAATTTCTCAGCAACTCATTGCTGTGCAGCACCCACAGCCACCCCAGCTCCACACCTGCCCCAAACCTGACCAGCAGCACCTCCCCCAGCAACATGCTTGGTGTCGGGCACCTGGAGGCCACAGCAATGGGGGAACGCAGCGCGTGGCCCCACTGACACACAGCCCTCCTGCACAGGCTGTGGCATCGGCCCCTCCATGCGTTCAGCAGCGCGGATCTCAGCTGAGGTGCTGTCGGTTTGTACCACAGATGTAAAACACTGCAAGGAATTCATCATTACTTGGAAGAACAAGTAATATCATTCCCACTGAATGTCCAACATCTGCTACAGATACAGTACTGAACAATGACCGTCATCTATCTCCCTTTTCCCCTCTTTTCCCTTGGATACCGAACCGCTGCAGCGCCTCAGTCGTTCCGTGAGCAGCACCCAGCTGGCAGAGCAGAGGGCTTACAGCCATGCAGGACAAGGGTCAGCTCTGCTCCCTATTTCCAGCTGCCCCGTGTGCTGCTGACAGCGCTTCACCCAGACTCCGTGACAGCAGGCTCTGCACCTCCTGGAGCACCGCTGTGTTGGTACGGATGCCAGCAGCTCTGAAGCCTCCTCCACACGCAGCTCCAGGCCCATGGCTGTGCCTGACGAGCTGTTATTGCCTTGTGAGGACAGAAGCCATTCACCACCTGCACGGTGAGCCGGGTCGGCACCTTCACTAAGCAGCCGTGGGACTTTTTGTACTAAGTTTTGAAACTTACCTCTATTGACTTCCAGAAAAAGTTTTAACTACAGTGCACAAAGAATATAATCTTCAAAATATTTACATTTTTGTACAATTACACCACAGCACTTTAATCTAAATCTCTTAATACAAACAAATAGCACCATTAGCCTTTTGCACAGATTCTTTCTAACAAACCGAAAGCTGGATTACTGTCAAATTAGGAGACTGGAACCACTTGGAATGAGAATAAGCTCGAGAAGGCAGAGCACTGGAACTCCCATCTATTAAAACCACTAAGAGGAAGAAATTAATTTAGAAACACTGTAAGCATTTGCCAACAAAATCCTCCACTGAGCCCTATTCAGTGTGCACCACAATTCAACTAACTTCAAGGAAAGCCTTTCCTCATACAAGACTTGATGCTTGAGCCTCTTGTTCTCAGAGCTCCTTGCATGCAGCCCTGCTTTCCAGCACCTGCTGACGTCCGCCCATCATGGAGCAAATCTCCTCGGTGAGTGGGAAAGGAGCAGAAAGAAGGGGATACTTGCTAGCTCGTGAACTTCCACGCACGCTAATCAGCACAGCATCATGGACACGGAGAGGACGGCCAAGCCAGTCACAGGGAACTGGTGTGCAGAGCCAACGGAAGGAAAATGAACAACCAGCCCTGTGAGAAAATTAACGCTTCGGAGAGACACGGGTAGCACCAGAATGGCTGCGCTGAGGGGCTGCGGGAGGCACCTCGTTCCCTGCAGAGCAAATGCTGTTTCTGAAGTATATTGCAGTAGGAAAATGCAATCGTTTAATGGTTACCATTTGGTTCATTCGGCTACAGAAAACGCGTTCCTCCTAACTTACGCTCAACTAACATTCAGAGTACTGAAGTATACAGAATGATACATAGTTTACACTTCTTGAAAACAAAGCTTGAAAGAATATAATATGGTCATCTTTAAGTAGGGTGGGACGTTGGAAAGGACGAGTATGCAGCTAAGACATTTCAACCTTTACGCTATGGTCCAAGAGTGCTTTCTGTATCAACAAGAAATGTAAAAAAATTTAAAAACAAATGACAGTCCTCACAGCTGTTGAGCATCCTCAGGGCCACTGAGGCGGCAGACGACCTCGCCTGCAGCACTGGATGTACAAACGTGTGAAGGACACATCAGGAGACTTGCTGTCCATCAGGAACTAGATTAGATGCCCACGACAGTGTCAGTAGATCAGTCATTTGATGCACATTCCCTTTTCTTCTGGATTAGTAAGTTCATCCCTTTCCCTTGTCACCCACTTCTCTGTCTATATCCGTGGGCTATTTGCATCCATTTGCTTTCACTGTGGTACGCTGGTATTGTTACTTTGTTATTCACCATTAACCTTCCAGTTTAATTAGAGATCAGGGAAGCGGCTGGGGTCCTCCTTGTAGTCATCAGGAATCGTGAAGATGGATTCATCAAATTCGTCGTAACGGAACTCCTGAAAAGTCACAGTGGCTGTGATGGTGGGAAACACAGGAATATCTGGATAGGAAGCACAACGGCACAGTGCAGATCAGAGAAATTAAGGCTTTCCAGTGATTACCAACAGTGATTTAATGGTTTTTAAGTTCAGGCCTGCTTATCATGTAGAAGATTTTACACAATGGCAATTCTAAGCTCCTTACAAAAGAAACACCAAAGAGGTACTTCAGAAGAACGTTATTGCAGAAGATGCTCAAATACCCTGAGCAGGGAAACATCAACAGGTTTTCATTGAGTTGGGTAATGTAATCAATTCAAGGGCTTTCCTTTCACACTGCAGAATCATAACGTGGAAATGAAGGTGCTGCAAGCACACAGACTGATCTGTGAGGGTACAGGTGATGCGAGGTAAGATAACCTTGCAGTGCCGTTGCTGTGTAACCTGGCACACAACTGAGCACAGCTGTCTGCTCACTGCCACTGCAGTCAGAGGGGAGGAAATGGGACAAGTGCAGGAACTCCTGGGTTGAGATAACGTGAAAGTTGAGCAAACCCACCTGTACAAGTGAGCATTTCAAAATGAAAAAGGCCACTTTAGAGCAAACGTTACATTGAGGTCGAATATTTAAGAATGACCCTTACTAGAATGGGATTACCCCTGAAGCAACTGAAAGCAAAATTCGAAGCTCGGTCTCTAAACAGAACTGTGCTATTGCAATGGGATGTGGAACATCATCTGCTCAGAATATCCAAGCTTACACAGCTTACTGGCAGGCAAGAAGTCCTGTAACACTCACAAAATGTACTGTTACTTTTTGATAGATTATCCTAGGATAATAAGCATAATCATCAACACCCACGAGTAAGTTGTTTTATATGCTTCCATTTGGTAGCAAAGGTAATGGCTTGGCTTCCATTCACCTCCAGTACATCACCAATAATACTTGAGGAAAACAAAATAATAAATGCTGTCAAGTTCCTATCTCATGGCTAAGATCATCCTTTAATGCAAGGAAACTTCAGCTTATCTGCTCTTCTAAGAATGAAGCCCTTCCAGCATCAGGAAAATATAAGTCACAGAGCTGGACTCCTGCTAGCACTGATCTCCTCTGAGCTTCAGATTGTCTCTTTCAAACCAAACATTCCTTGCAGGAACATAACCACGTTCCCCTGACACGTACAGCAACATGCTCTGTTATGTAAGAGTTCTTCTCCAGAACTCAGCAGGACTCCTGAGCACACTGCATGAATAAGCACAGACATTTCTGAAAAACAAAGCCATAAATGTTAGCACAACCTTACCTAATTTTACAGGAAAGCCTGGTGGAAGCTTCATTTGAACAAATTCTCTGAGTTTGTTAAAGTGCTTGAATGGTGCAATTACTTCTAAAACATTCAATAATCTGAAAGGGAGAATGGACATCATCACAAATCATTTCACAAAATAACCCAGAGAGCAAAGTGAGTAAAGGGATCTGAAAAACTACACCGTGTCTGCTGTGTGCCCCTAGAGCTCCAATGTCAGCACTGCCACTTTCAGACTGTAGAGACCCACACTGCGTTGTTGTATGAGTGCAAATGAACCCCCAGCTATGGGTCTCTTGTCCTCATTCCACAGAAGACACTGAAGCACGAAACCCCACAGCCTCTCCTCCAAAGATAAGGATTTTGACACGGTTGTGCATGGATTTAGAGAACATATAGTTGTGCTGAAACTTGTCAGGGGCAAAAAGGCTTTAGTATTGTGCAGAATCAGACACGAGTGCTGTCCAAGTTAACGACACTGCTGCTCACAGCTCAGGTCTCGTCACACGAGACAGCTGCTTTGCCTTGCCAAGAGCAGGCACACAGCGAGCTCTAACCGCCACAGCTCACCTCCCTAACGACACGACTTGGGCACTGTTTCCAAACTGCTGACATCTCAAATCTGGCAGAACTCTGCAGCTCGCAGGCAAGCTGCCACACCTGATACATGAAGGAACACCCAGAGCCAATGAGTCACACTTACGATTCGATTCCTAGCGGAAATTCCTGGCTCATCGCTATTGTTGCTTTAAAGGTTTTCTTGCTTTCTTTGCAGACCAGTTCTCTACCCAGATGAGGAGCTCTGCAAAGGGGAAGGGAGGAGGACAAAGTCAGGTTCCCCCCCCTCATTACAACTTCAGCTTTAAAGAAAAGAATTAAGACTCGGTTTTGAAAACCTCAGTAAGGATCCTCTACAACAGAACAGAGGCTGTGCATAGTAAACACGAGTTGGAAGCCATCTGAATTGAGATTACTGTGAGCTCTGCTAACCATGGAGACAAGTTAGAATCAGGGAAAAGAAAATAATCTTCAAGTTACTCCATGTGAACATTTTATTAATAATCACTACAGAAAGACCTGACCATTAGCTGGAAATACACAAACCAGTTGGTTGCAGGCATTAATTAAAATAGTCTGTGTGTGAGCAAAGTATCAAACTGAACTGGAAAGCACTAAGTTTGTTTCACAGTTTAAGCTGGAAGCAATCTCTGAGGAAGCACAGAAGTTACCCTTCTGTCCCCAGAGGACAATAATGGCAAACACAGAACAGAAAACAATTCTGGAACAGAATAGGCAGAAGGTAACAAATCTTACTGTCCTCCAATACAGAAACCTACATTTTCCACTGAACTCCCTTCTGGTAATTGATGACTAGATTTATTTTTATTAACATAGACACACACGTCCTCCTGTGCTGTTCCAGCATAACCTACTTACTGTGTTTGAACATTTATTCTATTTCAAATACATAAAGTAGAAAACCAGCAAAAAGAATCCAAGTGCCTTTTTAGTAAGCCTGTACTGTAATAGTATCTTCCCTGGTAACATCTGACTACAGGAGAACCTATAGCATCTGTGGAGCCACAGCTTCTACCATTTCCTTTTGGGTCCTTCCATATGCAGCAGAGCTGGATAACATTCAAGTCTTGGCAGTAAACTCAACTGCTTGGATCTATTACAAACCAAGCTGCTATAACTGAACTGAAAATGTAACTGTCTGCTGCGCGCCCAGAGGAGAGCACCTTGCACAAACCTGGCTGGTGCAAGGAGTTCTGTATGCCACTGCATTCCAGAAGTGAGCATTTTTGCACACTGACTCTCATTAAGTCGTAAGCTGCTCCTTTAAATATGGAGGATTATTGCCATCGTAAGAAAAGATCAGCAAGTTACAGAAATGAGTCTGACAGGAAATCTTCCCTTAAAAACATCGCTGAGAGGTCTGTATTCACAATAAGTCGGAATTCCAAGATGCAGGCACGTGCCTACGTGCATATGTTCATCTGCAGCCAATGGAATAATCTTGCTTACGTGAGCTGCTGTCCGTTTCTCCAGTCCACAGAAGAACACTGAGTATCTCACAATGAAAAGCAAGATCCCCCTGCTCCTTAACAACTACAAACCACAAAGAACCCATGAAGCAGTGGGCGCCAATCAGCTAAGGCTGTCCATGGAAATAAAACAAACTACTTACTTTCCATTTTCAGCAGATATGTACTCCTCCCATGTAATGGTATTGGGTGATGGTGGAGTAAGGGATTGTCGTCTGACCGGCTGTTCAGAGAAACACATCTTAGCAGTTGATCTTTGCTGACGTTCTCTTACAGTTTTACTATTCAAAAGATGCACTCAGTTTGCAGCTGAAACTTCACGTGGCTTTTCTATCTCTTACTCCTCCTTGCACAGACTCCATTTAGCTACCAGGCCTCAGACAGCACTGCATGCAGACGCTGGCTGGCGCGGCACATCAGCTCATCAGTTAATTCAAGTGCCTGAATGGCAAGTAATAAAGCACGAGCTCATACAGAAATAAATCAGCCCTTCTTAAAAGGCTCGTCTGCGTGTTCCCAGATGATGTCTGGCTCATTCTGAATAGCTCTCAACTTCATGGTGATAATAACAGGCTTAATCCGTTTTAATGAAGCTAAATGAGAACGTAATTGAAAGAAGAACCAGGAAGGGCATTCGAGACAATAAATATTTGGTCTAACGAAATTGAAGTGATTTGCCACAGCTAAAAACATCCCCTGTATGAACAGACAAATTAAGACTGAAGCATTCAAGAAAAGAAATGTCTCAGTACACGCACTAATCAGCACAGTACACAAACAGATGAGCAGGAATGCATTAAAGGTCATATTATTTTAAAATTATGGCACTCAGAATGGAACAAGGATATTATTTATTAATCTTGCTACATTTATCCTCTCTGGCAACAATTCACACAGTGAGAAGAATGATGTAAATATACCTCAAAGTTTTGTTCCATTAAGTTGCCACCTTTACTCAGGCTCTCCATGATAGCCTTATTTCGAAGAATATCCTCCTCACTGAGATGCTCTCTTCTTTTTCTTGATTCTAATACAAGTCCATTCACCAGGTAGAAATCTGCCAAAAAGTTCCCTACCCTTTCCTAGAAGAAAGGAATTAGACACTGGAGAATCACAGAAGATTAAATAAAACCACTTGAAGTCTTCTATATACAATTAATTGCAGTATGGTGAGTTCAGGATTGAAATGTTTCAATGTAAATTTACACATCTCACCATGTGAGCTCTCATCATACACTCCCCCCAACCTACATACAGTACAGAGTAATTCCCCCAGTAATTGGTATTTTACGTCAGTGGAAACTAAAGGAGAAAAGACTGCTTCAGAATCTGAGAGTGGCCAAGGGAAATCCCACTAAAAGCCCCTCCACTAAGCTGTGCTAAATGGTAACTTACACCCATGGTATTTTACACACTTAGAATATAGATTTCTGATTTCACAAAAGGAAAGAGCTCTGATAAACCAGCTCAGCAGAAAAGCTGTGGTAAATGGCACTACCTGACATCCAAGTCAATACAGAATCCTTCAGAGCTATCTCAAAAAAGCAGCTTGCTACAAGGCAGAAGTTTCAGTGTTCTCACACCTGAGAGTCTGTGCCTCAGACTGGCAACACTGGAAGGAATGGGCAAAGCAAACTGTGGCCAGAATGCTTTCATCCTCCTGCCCTCCACAGACACAGGGACATACAGAATTCTTACATAAATCCTGGGATGACTTTCCATTCTCTACATAGTGCCATTTCCAGCAGTGTTTCTCCACACACACTTCAGCTGTAGTTGGCTATTTTTTTCCAAGCCACCATTCTCTGATGCAGGCAGCCCACAAGACACGCTGTGTCAAACTAGTGACAACTGTGGGGACAGGGGAAGCCACTTTTCTACTCCACCCCCAACATCCGATCCTTTCACTCCTCCTTTCTTCCCAACCACATTATGACATGGCTGCCTGCACCATTTTGCCTTCAGCAGTGCCAGCCTGACAACTTCCTTTGGCTTACTGTTTTGTCTTCCCGAAAAAGCCACCCTGTTTGGGCACGTGTGAAGGTGATCGATTTGGTTGATAACGTTGCTGAGTAAATATCACTGCTCATCAAAATGTCAACCTCTTCCTCTGTTTCCATCTCAGATTCCTGGAAGGAAGATTACCAAGCACGGCACAGAATTTAATGATCATGACCAATCTTTTTTTTTTTTTTTTTTTAATAAATAATTTTAAGAAAATGAAAATCAATAAACATATTCCTTTGGCACTTTCCCCACAACCAGCACTACTTGAATTTCCAAACTGTTTTGTGGAAGCTCTGATACCAGCTGCTCACCAAATCATTTCAGCTTAAATCTTAATGCAGTGTCCAAGTGTGATTTACCCAGAGGCTCACCACCAGCCAAACCCTTCATATAAACCCACCTGCTGAAGTGACTGGTAGATAGAGCTATAAACACAAGCCTGACCAGACACAGAGGCCCTCCCAGTAAGACCCTTGCACTGTTAACAACCAAACTGGCCACAGAGTGACCAGTTTGAGTCAAAGCCAAATGGGGGCATTTGTGTAAATGGGGGCAAAGCAATGGCAGGCAAGTGTGAAAACTCCACTTGAGGAAGCCCTGAATTATGCCCACAGGAAATACTATAAGCAGAATGCTTCAAACTCTGAAATATATTCATCTGCCCAGGATGACACTGTATTTTCCAGCAGATTTGAATTCTATTTCTCTCCGCTTTCTTAGCTTGCATTAACAAGCAGTTTTTCAAAATAAAAGCTTATAAGCTTGTTTCAGCTGAACAAAACTGTAGTTTGCATTTCTTTGGAGTTTGGGTCTTTCTGAGAGGCACACCTTGCTGTAAATTCAGTCTGCTGATGGGAAGTAAAGGGTTGAGGCGTTGCACAGATCCTTACCTCATGATGTATTCGCTGGTAAACTTTTTGCTCATTGTCTAAAACTACAAAAGATTCAGAGGGTGCTGCATCACCATTAAAAATGAAGCTTAAATCCCCTCGTTGGCACTTCATGTCAGTAAAATCTATCAGAGTTGTGTCCAGCCTGTGAAAATACACCAGAACATTAAGTTACCCATAAGCAGTCACATGTGTTGACTGTAAGCTCTGCTTTCAAGAAGCTTTTGATTACTATTATTATTTATTTATTGGCACAAACAAGTGAAGGTTCAAGTCTTCATAGAATATGCCATTATTTAAGCCTGGATATAGAAATAAAAATTGGGTAAGAAACACTCAATAGGTGTCACATTACTCTTGCCATGGAGATGAAGTGGATGGCCCTCAGAGGCCTCTAAGGATTCTATGAGAACATGGCCTATTTTTATGCCATCTTCATAGAAGTGCCACCTATACCTTCATATCATATTTTTAGCATCCACTACATACACCCCATGCTTTCTAAAGAAAAACAGCAGAAGGAAGTGACAGAAATTATGTAGCCAGTGTGTGCTACACAATGAGAAACGTAACTACTCCCTGCAACAAACAGCTGAGTAGCCCTGCTAAGATGTGGCTGCAGTTACAAAGAGGACTAAGAAATGGCCTCCATCCCCATTTGAAACATCTCAGTTACTGTTGTTCTTCTTTTCTCTCACCAACAGAAAAGAAATGCTCCTGCTGAGCTGGAAATCAAGAGCTGGAGCCAAGAACAAAGAACTCTCTAGCAACTAACACGTATTATTGCTAGAATATTTCCTTCTTTGTGAAGTTGGTTAAAGAGCCTGAATTCAGTAGCCACCTCACTTCTAAAGGGTGGTTGCTTAATACTCATCATGTATTGGCCTCTAAATTCATGAAAGAATCTGCAGTTACATCCTTGGAGTGTCAGCCTCACAACTCCCCTCTGTGCAAGCAGGAGAAATGAGAAGGAAAATAAATGGTCTCAATGGACTTAAGTCTAAGCTAAGTTCACATATCTATGCCAAAAAGCTGTAGTACGAGAACAAAATGTCCATGATCTTCTGAATCATAACTGTATTTTCCCTCGTTCAAGTTTAGGAACCAAAACAGACACCTGAGCTCAAAATCACAACCGAGGGCAGCTGAACAGCCAGGCTCAGCAGATGTCCAGGAATCTGTGAATCCTTCACAGCCAGCATTTTAAACAGAGAAACTGCATCACTCTTCTTCCTACACCTCCTGGAGCAGCAAGAGTTCTCCACAAAATACTGAAAGCTCACTTATACTTGTAACGTGAATTTTCAGATATCAAATTCCTGTTTTCCAATCAAATCATTGCCAAACTGCACCAAAGCCTCTATCTACCAGCCAGAACTGGGTTTGCTTTATGTGAAGTGACTCGAGAATTAAAGCTAACTTCAAACTAATGGTGGAAAAGACTGTAGATGAAAGCACTTCCTGCCTCCAAGCACCTATGTACCAACACACCCGTGTTTCACAAGCATTTGCAAGCAATCACTTCCAGACCACACTGAAACCAGCATTCCCATCAACATGCAGACATCTGTGACTTAGTAAACTCAAATGGCAGATCAGTGCTTACCTGATATTTATACCTTGTTTGTGTATTTTACATGCATCAGAAGGCAGAATTCGGGAGAGTAAAGGCACTAGAAGTAGGTAGAGAGATTGGACAATTAGAACAACGAGGTTTCTCTGCAAGGTACTTTGAGTAAAACTGCACCCCACCTTGAATTTCAATGTGTTGTAATATAAAAACACAGCATATCCATTTCCCATCATCATCTCAGCACAAGCACACTAACGTCATGCTTGTCTATTAACCAACTGCAGGACTGATACACCCTTGAACAGAATATCTCCAGCAAAACAAAACTTGAAGCCTCCTCATTTTAAATGAACTACACCATTTGTGAGTTCTAATAACTTGTCTTCTAACTGCCAGGAGTTTTAATTCTGCAGTTGGATATTTTATTTGAATATTATGCCAGCTGAAAGCCCAGCCACAATTAAACAGAACACAGGCAAGCAGAAGACAAATCCAAAGCATCAAGGTTTAAAACCTAAGGAAACGTTGAATTACCAGAGGAACTGAGAGCCAGCCCAGTGTTACAAGCCAGACACGTGAGCCCACAGCTGTGCCTATTTTAAAAAGCAAGATTTACTGCAATAAGAACAAATAATGGCTTCTCAGCACCTTCTTCAAACGGCACCACGAAGAACTGGCAGCACCTGCAGAACTGAGCTCGCTCAGAGCACCAATGGTCAGCACCAACACACTGCTCAGGGCCTTTCTCCCCCCAGGAGACTACCCCAAACATGGGAATGATGCAGGCAGAGGAATGCCCACTGCATGGTGACACTGCTGGAGAAGACGACCACTGCAAGCTGGTGCCAAGCAATTGAATGCCACAAGTCCTGTCACTCAGCAGAACTGCACAAACCACTGCTTTGCAGTGACACCAGATGACCAGATTAAGGCATTATAACATTTTGTTCTTACAACCATATTCTTTAACAGCTTGCTCCCCTCCCCATCTCATATCGTGTGCCTAGATTACAGAATTAAACTAGAAAAAGTCATTAAAAATAATTCAGAAAAAAAAAGTGTCTGTCCTTTACTTGCACTTCAATGTTCACAACACGATTATGAGTTTTCCAAAATACAAACTGGAAACAAATTGCAGCTTGAGAGAACAGGTGTGTGGAGGCCTGATAATATTATCTCCCAATGAAAAGGGATATGCAGTCACTTACCCCAACTTTGAAAATCCCAGTGAAGCTCTAGATAGAAGTCACCTAGCTGAGATGAAAAGAATACATTGACACTTTGGTCAACTGTGAAACGTGCTGGAAGTTAAGCAAAGTTTGTGTTTTGCCAAAAAAAAAATAATAAAAAATACCTCTTCCCCCTTCTGATGCAAATAATTGAACTTCAATTGAAATTCACCATTTCTGAAGCTTCACCAACAGCAGAATCAGTAATGCTAAACGTGTGCTTCATTTAAGCTACTAATCTTTAATGATTTTTTCTGGAAAAAAGTTACACAGCTATTAAGCTGTGAACAAAATAAATTGTAAATCTCAACTTTAAAAGCCTGCAGAGCTCTCTGTTTGCTCTGACTGACCACATCTAACTGCATTCTCTGAATCAATGGATGAGGTTTCACCTACCAGTATCCACGTACACAACCTCCAACTTATACTCTAGAAATACACTTCCAATCATCAGTACTGACAATTGTTTGACTGTGCTCAAGAAATACTGGCTGCTGCATGCAGTGGGAGAACTAAGCTTAGAAAAAACTCCCTTTCTTTACCAAGCATTAAACAAACAAAAAAGCCATCATTGGTGATTGGTGACAGGATGCAAAAGCAACTTCTTCGCCAGGCTGAGATTTAAGGAAGTCTTAGAAAGCCAATGAAATAAGCACAGATTAAAAACACATCCTTTGACTTTCAGGTTGAAAAGATGGCAGAAAGGGCTCTCTCATCCAAGGCTTTTTTCTGCCTGAATTTTAGAATTTGAGGGGGAGCATCTTAGGAATGCACACCGTTCTGTGAGCCCTTGGCATGGACAAAAAGCTTTTTTTCTTTTATCAGTTTGCTAAAGCATCCTTACTATACGAACAAAAGCTACCAGTTTCTATCACAATCTGGTTTTTGCCAACAAAGCTGCCTTCAATTTACCTACCTCTTTCAGGGCTTTTAATAATCGAGGTCGCTTTTCTTCAACACTTTCCCTGGACTGCTGTTTAAGCTTCCTTAGGAGTGCTGTAACTGAACAGAGGTTAAACATAAGGTAAAGCTGTGCTGCTTGGCAAACTGCAGCTTAGTGCTGTCATGCAACAGATTTTTAAAAAATGAGAAATAATTGCTGTAAATAAAGCATTTCATCACTTTGGAGTAATGCACTTCAAGTTACAGTAATTATAAACAATTCAATGTGATCACAGTAGGAAGAAAAGCTTCAGAAACTGCTTATGACATAAAGCATTTGATTATGTCAAGATATTTACTAACACACGTATACACGTGTAAAAAGACACATGGTATGTGTGTATATTGCTGAATGTGATGCAGAAGATTCTTCAGCAATGATCTTACTCATTTGTCTGTCTCCATAGCTGATGGCTTCTGCAAGAGGGCTCCATCCCTGAGCATTTTTCACCTTTACTGGAGCATTGTGGGCTAAAAGCAAGTGGGCACATTCTGTAACAAAGCAGCAGTAATTACTGTCACTAAACACAATGGGTATTGCAATTACATAATTCATGACAGAGGAAACAGTAACGGAAACAAGAATAAAACAACTAGTAGATATTCAATATATTAAGCACCATCAGAACACACATCCAAATTATGAACTCAAGCTATAAATAATTTTTGAAAACATTCATGAGATTATTTATTGCATTTTCCTATTAAATATGAGCACTGAAAACATCGTTGGCAATCAACAACCAATTGCATTGCCACTGAAAGACATTTCCTTGTGCTTTTCATAAAGATGTACTGTTGTGTATACACACTCACTCCTCTATGTAAAAAATACTTTAAAATGCTTGTTTAATCACCTCTGTGTAATGTCTACCTCTGAAACGTTAGAACATGTGCATAACATGCTGTGCAGCAAGTTACCTAGGACTAGCAGAGTGCCTCCATAAAGCACAACAGCACAGAGCTCCACTTGCCATGCACTGCATTGTTTGCCCACGCATCAAAGCAGGCCTTGATGCTCTCCTGGCCTCTTGGCACGTGTGTGCTGTGCTACCAGAGCACACCAACATCCCATAAACACCACACCAGTTCCTAGCGTAGTCTCAGCTCAACTTGCGTTGCTTTCTCTATCTAAGGATAAAAGCTGATGATAGAATCAGGAGCTGCCCTTGAAATTCAGAAGAGAAGAAATGGTTCAGTATTTCTGTGTTTTGAATAAGCTGTCCTCGTTTTAAATGGTCCTTCCATTCCTAACTATGGAAAGCTTCCTCACCACAACTCATTAAAATCAACCCGACCCATCCGCAATGATACAGCAGCATGGAGCGGGAGCTGCAGGCTAAAGAAACTCTCATTACGAATAGGATGGGCAGGAACTGCAGATAGAGGGCCATCCTGATCCTTCGCCTACAGGTGTTACAGGAAACCTTACCAGTCACTCAAGATGCAAAAATCATGAGTCACTGGAAAACGTGGCGTTAGGAAAGGAAGAGCTGCTTTACTGGTGAGCACCCCATCCTCTGTGGTAAACAAACAAAAGCCTTAAGTACCCTGTCCAGAAACATGCAGAGATATTTTCTGCAGTTGCTCAAACAGTGCCTAAAGCAATGACTACACTGACGTGGAACAGGCATTCACCAGCCAGACCCCATTTTCAGTTAAACAAACAGGATGTCAGGTTCACCCTGCAATTCACCAAAGCCTGGCTGCAATGCTGCTACATGCACCCGAGCAATCTACATGCATCAACCCAGAAAAGCTGCCCCTCAGCATCAGTCAGACTGGCTGACATGGCAGCAAAGGCCCCGGGGGTCTCAGAGAATCAAAGACCAAGCAGGAATAAAAGTCAAAACAGTAAAACCAGGTATTGTTCTTGATATCATACACCAATAGTCCTGCTCCAGCCAAGCTACATAAAGGCTTACCATAAATATCCCAAGTAATTAAGGGCTTTACTCATGGGATGGCTGACAAAGAAGCCAAGAGCGAACTACAAAGCGAGATCTCAAATATGCAGCCAAAGGAAAAAGGAGTAAGGGGAAGAACTGCTTCTCCTCTCCTTGCTATGCTATGTGCCACGATAATCAAGCAATCTGACAGCACTGAACAGCAAGGGCTTTTCATCCTAGAGCTGAAACATAAAATAACCACAGTTCAAGAGAAAAAGTATTCAAGCGTACTGAATTAAGGGTGATAAATTCTTTTCTCTCACTTGGTATCGAAAGAAGCATCTTTGATCAAAATCATTTGTACTCCAGTGACATGACATTGCTGCAGTTAACAGCCCAGCTACAGAGCTGGGCTCACCACACACCAGGTGCAGGACTCTCACAGCTTGACAAAAGCAAGGCATTCTTTCTCTTGTTTCAGTAGAGAAAAAGAATTCTAGTGTCATGGAGACTTAATCATATTCCAAGTTGTTGTTTTTTTCCCCAGTCCTGAAATACGCCTACTCCGACGCTTTCTATTTCAAATAGAAATGTGAATCCTTTGCCTTGAAATGCTGCTGTAAAAAAAAAAAAAAAAGTCCCCCAAGGATATCTGAAAAGGTGACAGCCATCATGGATCAACAGGCAGCACAGCCTGGTAGGCTGTCCTGGACCCTGCAGAGAGCAGCCAGTCCTGGAACACAAAGAAGCAGGCAGGCAGTGGGCAGAGATCTGAATCAGGGGAGGAAAGGAATATGCAAAAGGCAGGGATTGATTACGATTCCACTCGCAGAGTCACTTTATTCCAGAAGACATTTTTGTTCATAACAGAAAAGGCTAACAGGGGTCATTCAAGACCTCAAATGAGCAGATCAGTAACAACCACAGCAAAACTATTAACCAAGAAAGCAATGAAGAAAAAGGGCACCATCACACAAATAGGAATCAATAAGCCTTCTGTTAATAGCATTAAAACAGAGATCTGCCTGGATGAAGACTCCTGCCTACCCAGACTGAGCGTGTCCCACCCCTGTTTGGACACCACGAGGACACAGGCACGAATGTGCTTGCCTCCACTGCTGAAAGCTGTTCCTTGTTTCTCAATCTTCTATGATATTCCAAGTCCTTCTAACTCTGCAACAAGACAGAAGCTAGCTCTTGTTCCAGGCTCACAAAGGAGTCCAGCAGTCAGAACTCCTTCTCTGCCATTCTCTCCTTCCAACCCAGCTCTCCGCCTGCCTGGCTCCCTGATTTTGGCCTAACAGGCAGCCCTAACTTTCTTACAGGCTTTTCTCTTTCACATCTGGGCAGCCTCTACTTTGCAGAAAACCTTAACTTGCAACAAGTTTGAAACACAAGATTACATTCAGAAAAATTGAACAGTATTGCCTCTAAATTCTCAGGACAACTTAAGAGTTACAAAACCAAAGGTTTTACCAACCTTTATGTCCCAACATCACAGCAAGATGCAAAGGAGTGTTTCCTAAAAGAAAAAAGAAAAGAAAAAGAGATTAGATCCAACATAACAGAATTCATTGCAACTCCTTCAGGAGTCTGGACACACAGCTCCCACACTGTTATTAAGAAACCACACAGCCTAAGGAAGGAGCAGGTACACGTACAACACAGCAGTTTCTAAGCAAGTCCAACATACAGATTTTTTATTATGCCTGTTAAAATATAGCTGAAACATTTCATGGGCCAGCAGGGCTTCTTAATTATACCTTGAAACCTGCCAAAGTGGCACAAGTATATCTTTAAGAAGGCAATAACCCAAACCTCTGTACTCATGGTCTGAGAAATATGATATTTTACACAGAATGACATATCTAGGGTAAAAGCTACTCAAAGATACGACACTTATTAAAGTTTTAGGAGCAAATTGTATTAATTTTTCAAAGACTGAGCATAAAATTTTTACTAATACAGCAACAGACACATTGCAGAATAAAAATCATTTCCCTAAAGAAAACCCAACCATCCACCACCACCTTCTGGTTACTTCAATGCCACGTTTCCAAAGGAAGCTTCCAAGACTACTAGCAGATATTAAAAACGTGAGTATTTCCCTGGCTCTAGGTGACCCAGTTTAGACTCCTGCTCTTAGATATGCACAGTAAAGGTACAGAGAGCTGTTTTTCTCAATTAGTGCTGCTACCAGCATTCTGATATATTTCATTTTGGGGGCTCAAGGATATAGGATCCTTCCATTTCAGTGTAACACTTTGTACGTTCATATGTTTTCTTGCAAAGTTAATTACTTGTAAACAAGTTTCTTTTGCAATTATATCAAACGTAGTTGACCTTAGAAGTATTTTACAGCATCACGTTAGCAATAAGCACTTGCTGCATGCCAAGGATGATGCACATCTCAACCATGCAATCCAAAACATTCATAGATTGCTGTATGAAGCAATCACCAACACACCACAGTATCTCTGATCAGTGGAATCTCTGATCAAGATAGGCAAGCAGTCAAAGTCAGAGTTTGTAAGTGGTTTTCAATTAGCTTTCCAAAAAAAGAAACTAACAACAAAAAACAACAGCAAAACAAACCACACCTTTTCAAACACTGCATAAGAGCCAGACAGCTCCAATATCTACAAGAGCTTGGCATATTGAGAAGAAACAACAAAATGAGAGTTAACCAAGTGTTTGGCAGCCTTCCTGAGAGATGTGGAGAACGTTTCAGCTGATAAGTGGGAAACGCAGTTGTGCAATATCACAGCATTTCAAAACCCCTCTGGACAAGGTTCTGAGCAACCTGAACCAACTTTGATGCTGTTTTGTGCAGGATGCTGCACTACATCACCTCCAAAATGCTCTTCCAGCACAGATTTTACTTTGATACTCGACCTTCACACCAAAAAGTATGCAACCCAAAAACTGAACAGGAAACTTACAGACAAGGTGGGGTAGGAAAAGGACACAGAGCAACAGTCATTACAACAATTGAGAAAGCACAGACATTAGAATCTATCAATTCCAGAATGAAACAACAAGCAGTTTGTGAAGGAGATGACAAGGATTCTTGCTGGTCTCTAACCAGTGGGACTCTAGCAAAGAGGAGTGTAAGGTTTTTCTGACATCTACCAGATAAAACAAGAGGTTTGCTGCAGCACACAGGGAGAGGTAAAGCCTCAAGGAAGGGAGGAGAAGGAAATGCAAGGCAAGCACTAAGGAGAGGGGCGTTGCAGCACCCGGAAACATTGCCATTCCTATGGCACTCTGCATCGCTCCAGCCTTTTATCACTGCCCTGGACAAGTCCTTGTCAGACACCACTGGATGCAGAACAGCCACAAAGCCATGCACCTTTCCATTCCTGCACAAATCCATTGCTGCTTCACAAACAGCTCCCATGGAGGTCAGGCACCCAAATATGTTTGTGGGCCTCGGCCTGGCAACAGAGCACTGTCTCACTCCCAGATCCTCTCCCCAAATGGTCACCATCTCAGCAGGAACTGATAACAAAGCCAGCTTTGGCACAATCAAAAAACAAACACAGAGCAGCATCTTGCTGTTCCATCACTCATCATCCTTCTTAACATCTGATAAATCTGTAGAGCTGTTGACTGTCTTCGAGCCAAACAAAATGAGTTTTCCCAGTAGCAAAGCTAAGTCAGAGTTACCAAATAAGCCATTCAAACTATTCCAGGTTAGATGCCACATAACAAAGAAATTATACTGAGGAATTACTCGGTACACAGAATGCCTCTATGCAATCTTCAGCATCTCTGCCCCAAGAGGAGGGAGAAGAAGAGCTGTCCAAAGAGAAAGGATCCTCATCTGTCTGACCACAGTCTTAAGTGCATTCATTCTGCATGGGACAACTGAGGGAAGGCAAAGGTCTCAGGACAGATGTGTCCAGATGGGGCCATCCAGCCACTGTCACTCAGCACCCTCAAGCAGCGGCAGCAGCGCTGATCGGGCTCAGAACCGGCCAAAATCTTCCCAGAGATGTTGTCTCAGAAGCCTGGCTGGCCAGCAGGCACACCTCACATCTCACTGCTCCTCCTTCAGGAAAGCTGGGGATCTGGAAGCGTAAATACGGCCCCAGCAGCTGCAAGGGCAGTGCCACACAATTACACTCCCTCTAGCACTCAAGACTCATGAATTAAGTAGCACCAGCATCTACAGGACTCAAGTGGAATTGTCCCACTGGAATTCTATAATGCTACAACCTTCAGCTCCATCAACCCTTGAACATAAACCACAAATCATGTTTAGTTGCTTAAGCTTGGCTTCTGCCAGAACAAGCACAAGGGGAGGAGAGGGGAGTTCCACTTCTTGCAGCTGCAAGGCCAGCTGTAACAGCTTGAGGTGTTCAGTGAACTGCAGCATAATCACAACAGCAAGTGCCAGCACACACGTGGCTCTGCAAGGGACAGCTTCTGCTAAGACAAAAGAGGGTGCAGCTTCACTGTGATGTTTACCTACGTGACAGAGCTGCAATTATTTACAGCACTCTTCCTATTAAGAGGCTGACACGTGGGATGACTTCACTGCAGTGCCACAGATACTTGATGCGATTGTTTCCAGACCTACTACACGTGGATATGTGTGTGCACGTGGATACACGTGAAAAGCCGCAACCAAAGTTCTTCTTTAGGTTTCTTTGCTGGTAACAGCTTGATTCACCTTAGAAACAAAGCCCACTTAGCCCTTCCATCTACAGAAGGTTTCTTCAGTGTCCATAGCTTCGGAAACCAACTTCTACATTTCCCTGCCCACGTTTAGGCTACAGGGCCTTAACCTGAGATAGCAGTGATACAGCAGTGCCTGAAGTCCTGCAGGTCTCCAGCCAGGCCGCGCAACCAAAATCATCTGCACTTCCCTTATGAAAGGTTAGAAGTTAAACACACTCATATAGATATCTGGCATGCCTATGAGGCAGCTGAGTGCCTTCTGATAGTAATTCAGCAAGATTTATCTATTTCAGAAGCAACTATTTTCTTCTGAAAATATGTTTAAGCTTTTAAATGTGTGTTACAGCAAAAATAAAAGTGATCTAAAAACATATACAAGCTCCTGCCTTTTGGAATAATGATGCTGGTCTCACCAACAAGAAATGCTTTTTTTGAGGTTAATTCAGAGTGCAGCCTGGCTAGCTCTCTATTTATTGCTACAGCCAGCATTTGTTTTATCAGAACACCACAAGTTTAATGTTCTGTGGGACGTGGCTTTTCTACTTAACCGCTCACTAAAAATGGAACTGAATTATAAATAGTAACTGTTACTAGAAGTTGTCCCTCTTCTGTCACTTCCATATCATGCACTAGGATTCTTCAGGCTTACTTCTGAGTATAGTTGTAAGCTGAAGTTATCTACTCCAAATAACTCACAATTCAAATATGTAAACAAGTGGCAGATGGACTCAGGCAGGAAGAAAACAATAACAAGGAAGTAACAGTCAGGCCTTTGGTATGTCAAGGCACCAAGGGTTTGGTTTTGTTGTTGGTTTCTGGTTTTGTTTTGGATTGGTTTGGGTTTTTTTGTTGGTTTTTGGTTGGTTTGCTGTTTTGTTTTGTTTTAATTTAAGTACAAAAGAACAGTGAAAGTAAAACTTTGGAAGAAGATGGAACAGAAATCCACACTGTTCCTATTGCAACCAGCAGTGAAAATGAAGAAAAGTTCATTAAAAAAACACATATATACTATTAAAAGTATATAAACATACATAAAAACACAGTATCAACACTTGTGATGGACACTGAAGACAGCAGTTCAGCAAAGATGGGTCATGAAGTGCTTCAAAGTACAGACACAAAGCTACAGCAATGAGTCATTTGATAGGAACTGGAAGAGATGTAGGGAAGAAGGCAGCAGAAGGCACACAGGGAGAAGGTTTCTTTCCAGGCCTGTTGCTTTCATTCTACCAGACTTTGCTGCAACTCTTGGAATGAAGATGACAGGATAAATATATCTGTAGCAATATTTATAGCAGGCTACTTAGAAAAATGTTATGACAGTTGTAAGAAATGCTCCTTCCTATCTCAGTTGAGGAAACTGAGCCGTGAGCTACTCCAGCATACACCAGTTTGTGTTTCAGAGTGCTTTCTATTATCACGGAGACAGTTTTAAATGTCTAATTATGCTATTTTTCCCATCGTATCAATCCTAAGACTGCCCTATATTACTGTTTGGTTTTATTTTACACAACACAATTAAGTAAAACAAAGGGAACACTTATCTCATCATCAGAAAAAGAGAGTAACTCTACCCTTTAATCACAACTTGCCCAGACACCACATGCAGGATGACTTACACCCTCCTGCAGAAACGTATCATCTTACTCTGGAAAAAGGCAGGAAACACACAGACGAAAGCTAACCGTGAAACTTCAGCTGACTTGACAGGCTAACTTATTTACAACGTAAAACATTCCGCAAATTAAACACATCATTTTAAAATGCCCTATCAAGGCTTCGAATGGTTGCACATTTTAAAGTAACGCAAGGCTCGTTTTTCTACCTCTGTTACTATTGCTTCTCTGTCCAAAGCAGGTAGGAGAAGCAGATGACAACCTTTTGCCTCTTTCAAATCCCAAAACTATATATACACATATACACAGACACACACCTATCTATCTCTCTCTCTATATATATAAAATTTTTGTTTAAGCTGGGGAAAACCTAAAGATAATCCCACCAACAGCCAAAGCAGCCACTCCCAAGTGTCCCCTAAGCCCCATCATTCCTAAAAAGCAAACAGGTGACAGTTCACACACTTCAAAAAAGAAAAGAAGAAAAATAAAAGGTGTTCTTGCAAAAATGCATCTTCAGGTCTGAAGCAAGACTTTGTAAGAGGAAGTTCTTCCAGGACAACACAAACAGCAGCAATGCACTCATTCCTATTAGTGAATCCAGGACACCCTGGCGATAGGAGGCACAGCCACACTGCTGTGCAGAGCTCACTGCAACTCCCAGCACAGCTAACTACTAAACCTCAGGGAAGATAAATGCACTTAAAACAATAAGATAAAAACAATTAAAAACAGAACCATCACGGTTGGAAAAGCCCTCTGAGCTCCCCCAATCCACCCCCCTGTGCCCACGTCCCTCAATGCCACATTCCAGGGCTCCGAACACCCCCAGGCTGTGACCCCCACCGCTGTGCAGCGCAGCACCACAGCCTGTGCCTCACAACCTTCTGTAGAAGGAAGAGATGAGAGCTTGAGCTAAGCAGAAATGAGACAGCGAGGGTGATGAAACTCTCCAAAAACATGACAGAAGGAAAAAGCAGCTCACACAAAGCAGAACGGACACTGTATGCATCAAGCGGTGCTGCTTGGCCCGGTGTGCCCTGCGGGTCCGGCCCGGGCTGCTGAGGCAGCTCCCCAGGGGGGAAGGCAGGAAGGCAGGCAGGAAAGCAGGCAGGCAGGGAGCACCGTCCGCCCCCAGCAGCCCCGAGCACGGCCTCGCCCGCCGCTCACCGTGGCTGTCCTTCTGGCCGATGCCCTGCGTGCGGATGAGCGCCGACAGCCGCCTCACGTCCCCCTTGAAGACGCACTCGTGCACGGGGAAGTGCGCGGGGCTCCGCTCGGGCTCCGCGGCCGGGCCCGTCCCGCCGCCCGCCAGGCCGCCCTTCGGCGGCAGCCGCTGCTGGTGGTGGTGGTGGTTGCTGAAGATGCGGTGCCCCCCGGCCCGGCCGCCTTTGCCGCCGCTCCCGCGTCCCCCGGTGAAGATGGCTCCGGGCGCGGCGGCCGCCTCCTCCTCGCCGTGCCCCAGCAAGTCCCCGTCCTCCTTGCTGGGTTTGTGGTCCCTGCGCAGCGAGCGCAGCTTCTCGCCGGTCATCGCCGGCGGCGGCCCCGCGGGCGGGGAGGGGGGGGACCCCGCCGGGAGACTGGCCGCGGCCGGAGGAGCGAGGCACTCAGAGCCGCGGCGGCAAGTCCCGTCCCGTCGGCATCCCCCGCCTCAAACGGCCGCGGCGCTGAGGAGCCCGACGCCCGCCCGCCTCCGTCTGACGCCTCCCGCCCGCGGGGGCCCGCTCAACGGCCCGGCGCCGCCGCCATCTTGGCCGGCTACTCCCGCGAGAGGCGCGGCGCGGGGCGAGACTTGGCGGCACCGCGAGACGGCGGCGGGACACCGCCCCTGAGCGCCGGGTCAGGGCGAGAGGGCGCCCCGCAGCGGGCAGAGCTGGGCGGGGCTGCTGGCCTTCTTAGTGGGGTTACCTCACGGGTACGGGATCAGAGTCGTCACGGTTGGAAAAGCCCTCTAAGTTCACCAAGACCAATCAGAGCCCTCACCATGCCCACCGGCCGTGTCCCCTGGTGCCACACTAGTCCCCTAGTTCCACGGCCATGGAGCACCTCCAGGGATGGGCAGCCCGTGCCAGTCGGTGCCTGACCACCAGCAGCGCCTGCCTGCAAACCTGCAAACCCCCCGTCCCAGCTGTCCGAAGTGCTGCAGTTCCAAAGGAAGGAAGGCACGCGGGTTTGCCGAGGAGAAAACCACAGCCTGTAGTGCCATCGCAGCAAGAGGAGGGGGCCCAGGTTCTCAGTCCGTGGCAAATGTTTTCTCTGAACATACAATCACAGAATGATTGGGTTAGAGGGAAGCCCCAAACTCCCCATCCCACCTCTGCTCTGAGCTTTCCTGCCCCCCAGGGCCCATCCATGGCCTCGGCACCTCCAGGGATGGAGACCCATGGCTCTGGGCAGCAGTGCTGGGGCCTCACCGCCTCTGGGTGAACAACTTCTCCCTCACATCTGACCCAAGTCTCCTCTTTTTCAGCTTAAAGCCATCCCCCCCTGTCCTATCTACTCACGTACAAAGTCGTTCTCTTGTTTATCAGCTTCCCTCAAGTACTGAAGGCAGCAATGAGCTTCCTCTGCAGCCTTCTCTTCAAGCTAAATAAGCCCAGTTCCCTCAGTTACAAACTGATTCCTTTCAGGTCCGATTGTGAGGAGGCAAGCTGGCTCTGTAAAGGCTTGGTTATAGCTTTAGTTACTCAACTCTGGACAACAATGTCCACCCTTGCTGCATGCCAGGTGTGTACACAAACCACGCAATGCTGCAATAAACCCGAGCAGTCCATTCACCTCCCCTGTAAAGAGCACGGGGTGACTACTGGTTACAAAAGGTCAACTGGCTTTGTTCAACACCATCTCCTCAAATCACCATTCTTGCATGGTGGACAAATTGTCACCCTTAAAAGCACACAGAGTGATGGGAGACAAAGCAGTTGTCCTGTCCCTCAGTACTTGCAGATGCATTATTGTTTTATAAAGCAACTGCATCACACCGGATTGGTGTTTCCCACAAGCTGCTTCTCCAGCATCAGTTCTGCAAGCACTTACAATAGTGCAGTGAATCATTTAGAAAATGATGATGTGTCGAATTCCAGGAAGACTGCAATTTTTACCAGTGATTCCAGGGAAGACAACGTGCAAGTTGTCTGAAAGGTTAGATCTGCAGCGATAAACAGCCCACCTTTCTGGATGCCCTCTTTACTCAGTTTGCATCATATTAAGTGACTCAGAATAATTCTAGAAGGAGATAAGAACTATGAAATGTGATTTCTGTGCCTTGTCGTCAGTGACAGCACAGCTGCTTCTGGCATGGCTATTTATAATTCTAACAAGGAATTTTACATAAGTAAACATATCACTTCATTCTATGGTCCATTGTTCTTTCCTTGAGATTTGTCTGGCTTTCCTTATTCTTAGAGGAAATTAAAATCCGCTTACAGACAGGATTTGAGAGGCTGGTGCTGTTGGTGATGTTACGTGATTGCTGTTGGCAATTCTGACGTCTGTCCTCTATTCTCCAGTGCAACACAAGGGACTGTTTGCACATACAGTTGTTCTCGTGGGGGAGGTGTGCTAGCTCAGCTTTTGGCTGGTGCTTCCCGAGGGTTGGAAGCTTCGGGTTGCACTTCTAATTACTGAAGGCCAGCTAAGGGTAGGCAGAGGCATGAAGTCACTGTTTACCAGCTTATTATGGAGTCCCTTATTCAGTCCAGAAAAACAATGAATTCATTACTGATGGAAACTGCTCTGTGGAAAATGGAGTTGGTAGTGAATCCAGATGTCCTCCCTCACTGGGAATGTACTTAGAAACCCTTGAGAATGTTTGTTTGTTTAACAACTTGACTTTGCCTTGTTTATATTCTCTATCTTCCCAAATCACTTCATTTGCTCTCTCCCAAGCAAGGTAGATAAAAGTAGTAGGATCAGATCAGATGCAGAACTGCATTTTCTACACTGTGAGCCTATGGAACCTTCACTTATGGAAATGCTCAAGCAGGATATAAATAACAGAGATGTAATTTCTTATGGCTATGTTCCTCTAGGAGCAATGCCAGCTTGTGCAGTATATAAAGAAACTGGTCAAAAAATAGGGAGGTGTAAAAAGCTAAGGCAACATTTTTTCAAAACCCAAAGGTAAGCAGCAAATGACAATGGCATACCATAGGTGTCCGCATGCATTTCTTCTAGCTGTAAGTCCAATAGTAACACTTGAGCTTGTAAAGAGTGCTGAACAGAATACTGAAAGCACCGAGGAGTGATCTCTCCTGAAGTGTTTTTTCCTTATTTCCAGTGGCAACACAAAAACAAATGAGGTCCAGGTGGGCAGTGAATGGAATTTGCCAGCTCAGTGAAATTAACCTGCTTTTCTGAGGCACTCAGAATGACTGACTTGAGAGATGTGCTAGAGAGAAGGACATCTTTCAAAGTGACAAAGGCCACTGAATAAAACAAAACTTCACAGGAAAAAGTAGGTAAGGAATTTTAAGACATCGTAGCCTCCATGACTATCTCAATGAAGGAGTAATTCTCTTTGCTGTAGGGCTGGTGCTGTCCTGAAGCACCTCGGAACTGCCTGCATCTTCCTGCTAAAAAGAAAGAAAAGCATGAGCAGTTTTCTCATGTTTCCCACGCCAATCCATGGGACTGAGCCATCCGCAGAGTTCCTTTATATATTTACTCAGCAAAGTGCTTCAGCCTTCTGATGGGGGATAGGAGGATGAGGGCCTGTGAAAGCAAGAACACCCAAAGAGCTGTACGTCAGCAGCACAGCATGCTCCAACAACAGCCACAAAAGACTCAATTTGCCTCAATTTATATAAAAATAAATAAAGTCCAGGTTGGAGTGTAAGAGAAGCCGTCTGCAACCAGAAGCACTGAGTTCTGGGCTGTGTGAGTTCAGCTGGGCACATCAGCCGATGCGCTGGGGCTGTGCAGTGCTGCCATTCCCCGGTGGTCACCGGGCCCCTCAGCAGCTGTCCCCTATTGCACACAGTGCTATGGGAGGAATGTGGGCAATGCTTTCACCTACATGCCTGTCATTTTCCATCCTCAATCACAGAATGGCCAGGGTTGGAAGGGACCTCAAAGATCATGAAGCTCCAACCCCCTGCCACATGCAGGGCCACCAACCTCCCCATTTCACACCAGCCCAGGCTGCCCAGGGCCCCATCCAACCTGGCCTTGAACACCTCCAGGGATGGACGGGGCATCACAGCCTCTCTGGGCAGCTGTTCCAGCACCTCAACACTCTCTCTGTAAAGAACTTCCCCCTGCCATCCAACCTCAATCTTCCCTCCCTCAACTTCAAACCATTTCCCCTTGTCCTGCAGTTATCAACCCTTTCACAGATTTGACTCCCCTGCTGTTTGTAGGCTCCCTTTAGATACTAAAGGCTGCAATGAGGTCACCCCGCAGCCTTCTCTTCTCCAGGCTGAACAAGCCCAGCTCCCTCAGCCTCTCTTCATAAAGAAGCTGCTCCAGCCCCCTGACCGTCTTTGTGCTCTCTAGACCCTCTCCAACAGCTCCCTGTCTTTGCTGTACTGGGGCTCCAGACCTGGACACAGTACTCAAGATGCAAGCTGCTGTATTCGGCCCACAGAGCAGTCATATTTTATGGCAGCACTTCTGAAATGGCTTTTTGGGGGACTTTCCTGTCATGCTGTGCACACGAGGCCGTGCAGGAGCTGGGTGCTGCTATGTCGCCCCGCCACGTGCCCAGCGCAGCACACGGAGCAGCTCCAGCACTTGTTCCTCCCGGTCCAGCGCAAACCGCGCTGGAAACAGAAGAGGAGCTGAGGAAAAGCGCAGCTCGTTCTGCGTTTTAAGCGCGCATCCTCTACAGCCGCAGCTCTCCGCACCCGCTCCTCCCAGCCCCGCCGCACGGCGCCCAGCCCCGACCCGAGCCCGGCCCAACTCCGCTGCCCCGCCCCGCGGCGAGGGCGCTGCCCGGCGGCTCGGAGCCAATGGCGGGGGGCGGCGACGCCCCTCCTGCGCCGTGCCCCCGGGCGGAGCCGCGGCCGTGAAGGACTGGGAGGCTGCGCGGGGCCGGAGCGCCGGCGGTCGGATCGCGGTCATGGAGCGAGGTTACCTGCAGCCCTTCGCGCACTTCGGCACGCAGGCCATCCACGCCGGGCAGGAGCCCGAGCAGTGGCGTTCGGGCGCCTTGGTGCCGCCGGTCTCGCTCTCCACCACGTTCAAGCAGCAGGCGCCCGGCGAGCACGCGGTGAGTGCGGGCGGGGCCGCGCGGGGTCGGAATGCGGCTCCGGGTTGATCCGAGCCGCGCTCCCCGGAGGGATCTGCGGGCGGTGAGCGCCGCGCTGGGCTCGGAGAGGGCGATTTCATCAGCCGTGCCGGGACGGACCGGCCGCCCCCTGCCGGGCTCGGCGCCGCAAGCTGCGGGGCGGGAGCCGGGAGCGGGGATCCGCTGCGCGCAGTCAGCGTGCGGCCGCCGTGCGCAGCCTGTAGGTCTCGCGGCGTGTGGGACATCCTGATTTAGCCCATGTGTCACCGAGGGAGCCGCTGCGATAAAAGGTGCCGTGTTCT